CCAGGTCTCCACGTTAAAAAAAATACACGTCTTGCTCCCCAGGCTTCCGGATCGCAGCTCACTAGAGACCCGGAGAAGGGGGCTCAGGGCGAGGAGGATGCCTGGGTCCGGTCTCCAGGACTGTCTCTGAGGCAGAAACGCGGGCTGGGCTCTGGGGAGGACGATGGCTCCCAGGGGAGTGCAGGAGGCTGGCCAGTTCTTCCAGAGCGAGAAGGGCTTCTCTCCCTCGGCCTTCCCTCGGCCTCCGCGAAGCCTTGGTGGGGAACCCAAAGACAAAAGTTTAAAAAGCATGAAGGAGAGAAAAATGAGGGTCGTGGCTTGAGAAATACCAGGCCCTGCCGATCCTCTCCCCTCTTTGCGCACCCGGAGCGCCACGCCACAGTCGATTTTCGCTCCTCAACCGCCTCCCCTCCGCGGCGGATACCTCGGGCGGGACTCCAGATTGCCAGAGGACACAGGACTCTGCGAGGAAAACCAGCCCAGCGAAATCATAATGGGGGGGACCTGAACAAATCTGGGACCTGGTGGGCCACCGGAGGTGTTACCGGGTTTCCTTTCCCCCGTATTCTGTATCCAGCACACATTATCTCTATATATAGCTATATCCACACACCGTGTACACACCCGCTGCCATACACTACAGGAGTCAATAAACAAGGTGCAATATTTCCAAACCGCTGGCCGACTACAGGCTCTGTTTAGACCCAAAGATTGGGGAAGGATCTTTTAAATAGGGCGGGAAGGGAAGGAAAAGGTGCGAGGGGGAAGTCAGTCCTCCTTGGGCGGTCACAGGCCTTGTCTCCCCTGAGCCAGGCCTCAGGCTGCAAGTCTGGTCTCTTCGTGGCTTTGTTCATTCATTTCTCTTTACTTTTGTGGGGCTTTGCAATCCCCCCAGATTTTACGAAGATGTTTGGACTCGCTGTCTGGACCCGCGTACAATCTAGGCTTAGACTCTGTCCCACCTTGAGGGTCTCCAGGAAAGGGAAACCTCGCCCCCAGGACCAACCATAGGCGGCGCGAAGGCGGTTCCTTCTTCAGCTACCGCCCTGCCTTCCAGCGCGCCCGGAGGCGCTGCTCCGAGCCCCGCCGTGGCCTGCTCTCCCCCTCGGCCGCCCTCCCTTCTCCCCCGGCGGCCGCGGCTTTATGCGGCTCCTTGTCACTTGCGGAGAATGGCTGTGCGAGGCCTGTGCTGCCACACGGCCGATTGTGAGCGTGCCAAGGCGGGTGAATGGGGAGGCCTCAGAGCGCCGCGCCATTGTGGGGCCGGGCCTCGCTGAAAGGCGGCTCCGGGCCGGGAAGGTGCGGAAAGAATGGCTTTTTATTGGAGTCCCGAACAAAAGGTGTGGTAGGAAGGCGAGGTCCCCTGCGCGAACAAAAACCCCAGCGCGTCGGATTGACGTCCCCCCCGAGCTCCCCATTGCTTCTCAGAGCGGGGGCTTTGTGCTGCAGTCTGTTCAACAGAGGGACGGAGAAATGCGCGGGGGTTTTATTCCACACTTTTTGTGCACTGGGGGAGGGGGCGGCAAGGGGGACGGGGACTGGGCGGGCAGCAAGGAGGGGCGCGTTGATTAGGCCCGGCCGGCTGGGGCGCCCAGACGTTCAGCGGGAGTCGGCGGCCTGAATGCAGGGTCATTATTGCTACAAGTTTAGCAATTTCGCCCTTACAGGAGGGGGTGGGGCTGCTAGGTTGCCGCGGGGCCGCCCGGCTGGGGAGCTAGAAAGACGCGAGAAGGAAGAAGAAAAAGGAGGAGGGGAGGGAAGCAGGCCGGCAGGCAAGGGAGCCCCCCCACCCCAAGCCCTCTGACCGCCCAGGATGCGACTTGGACTCATCCAAAAGGCGGGAGGCTGGAGAAGCGGCGCTCGGGGGGCAAAGACCCTCCCTCCACTCGCCTCTCAATGCAGCAGAAAGACCTGGGAGCCGAGCGCGAATTAGTGCACCAGACTGCTGGTTCCTGAGCTCCTCACCGCCAGGTCCTTTCTCTTCCACGTGGCCCTCGAGCTGGGACACAGCCTACCAACACCGCCACCATGCACCCCAAGCCCCCTTCCTAGCAAGCTCCTCTCCTGGTGCCATTATCTTCCCAAGGGTTGCTTAGCCGAAGGACTAGAGAGGGAATTCTTGGTTGCATACCGCTCCTCACTGTCTACAGCTGCGAAAGACTCATCCATTCATTCATCCATTCAACTATGTATACTGAGCGCCTACTTTATATAAGCCTGAGACAGCAAAGCGCTGTTTGGACGGGCTTCCTTTTTGTCATTCAGGAATCCACTTAAATGGAATCTCAACAGGCTTTCCCTGACCACCTACTCTAAAGGATCCCCACTCCCAGCTGGGGATGTTCAGATGCTGAGGATGGTGAGGAACAAAACCAGTGTCCACAGACTGATGGAGTTTATTTTCAGATGTGTGTAGGGAGAGAGAACAGTCAAAATAAATGTAAAAATAGATGAATTCTAAAAAGGAAATAGAACACAATGCTGGGAGTGGGTATCCTTTGGAGTAGGTGGTCAGGGAAAGCCTGTTGAGATTCCATTCAAGTGGATTCCTGAATGACAAAAAGGAAGCCCGTCCAAACAGCGCTTTGCTGTCTCCAGCTTCATGGAAGCCCTTCCGAACATGCCCCCCTCTGCCTGGAATGCCTTTCCACCCTCATCCTTCTGGCGAACTCTTGTTCCTCCTTCAAGGCCAAGCTTCTTTCCTGAACCACCCAAGTAGAGGTAATCATTCCCTCATTTGTGCCACCAGAGTGTTAGGTACTTTCCAATATTATAACATGGTGTCATGCAAAGATTTATTTGTCTCTCTCCCTTCACATGAGGTCATGGAAGGCCAGGGTGGCATCTTTTCCCTCTGGAACAGATACCATAGTAGGAGCTCATGGGACCAGGAGGGCTGGGGGATACCTTCCAGGCCCCTTCCCAGTCCCTTCCCTGGTGCTGTTGAGCTGCAGCCTTGGGTGCTGGCTGCAAGGGAAATGCTAAGCCAGATCCTTGGCTCCCTTAGGCCTAGCCAGGACATTTGGTAACCCATCTGATCCCAGTAGAAGGTCTTGCCTTCTCCACCCCATGATGTCACTTAGGGACATGGCTTCCCCACCTCCCTGGGATGTTGTACCTTACCCTACAGCTCAAAACCTAGGATAGGAGGCTGAGTGAGAACTTAGTGAAGACTTTGACAGCAGGACACAATGTTTGGGAGTTGCAGAGGACTTGGAGATAAGGAAAAGATAAGGTACTCAGGCTGGTGGGGATGGAAAACTGGGACGTATGAGATAAATCCAGGTTTTGCATCTCGGACCCAATTCGACTTCTGCATTCACCAGGTGCAGAGAATAGTAGCTGAGCAAGATCCTGGTCGGGGCTCTGCCAGTGCTCACTCCCCAGGCAGGATTTCAGCACCTGCACTCTAGCAGCTGAAGTCTCTGAGAACTGCAGCTCTCACTCCCCAGAGGGTTTCCTAAGTAAGCAACTACTTTTTCTCCAATCTAGTTCCTTATCCTGCTGGGCCTTGGCCTCTCAATGCTCCCAGCACCAGATCCTCACTTTACTTGCCTGCTTCCTCCCGGCCCACGTTGGTCTTCCTTCATTCTGCATCCTCTCCTGTTCTGGAAGAGAGATGTGTGAGCCTCATAGAGGAAACAGAGCTGGTTCTGAGGTTTGGCTTCCGGGAGGTTTGCGTGTCTCGAGATACTTAAAGCCAGTCTGGAGCAGCCCACTCCCTACCCTTCTCCAGAGCCTGCAGTCTCCAGGTATAAACAGCTCCCATCACTTCATGGAAGGATTTCTGTATTGCTCATTGCTGGGGTTCCAGGGCCACTGGAGAGTGAAAAGTCTTGACCAACATAGCTATTTCTTCCTTGGGCTCCCTCCCCAGGGGAAAAGACCCCCCTCCCAGGACTGCTGCTTCATTAGAATGTCCTGTGAGTCAGGAGGAATTATAAAATTCAGGTAGGCCTTTTAGTCACCCTTGGGACTTTGAGCAGGCCAAGTAAGTTGTTCCTCTGGTTTTTGAGCTCTAGGGTGGAGAGAAGAGTGAATTGTATGATTTCAGGAGTCACTTTTGACCCAAACTCTCCTTGCTTGCTCCCCTGGATGAATGTATAACCCCTTCAGACGAGTGACTTGTGCTACACTAGGCTGTGGAGTAGGTTCTAGAGGGTACTTTTTTCTGCAAAGTCTAATTTTGAGGAGTTAAGAGGATGGAATCTGGAATCAGACTGCCTCATTTTAATCTCAGAGCCACCACAACCAGCAGTAAAGAACTTAAGTTAGAAATACTCTGAACCTGTTTCCTCCTCTATTAAATGGGTATGCTTCTAGTGCCTCTTAGGCTTTTTTTAAAAAACCTACAGTGAAATTCACAAATATTAACTGTACAACTCAATTAATATTTGTATATGTAAACGCTTGTGTACCAGTATGCCAGTGCCTTGACAATGAAAATGAAATGAGATGATTCATATAAAAGTAGCTTAGCACACAGCCTGGTACTCATCAAGTACTGCATCAATGGCATAGCCAGGCCGGTGCTAGGCGGTGCGTATGCTGAGAGCCCTGGACTCTATCCTGTCCTTGAGACACTCCCAGGCCCACTGGGTGAAGGTCGGGAGAGCGGGGGTCTCCTGAGGATTCGGAACCACTATGCTGCAGGTGCACGTCCTGACAGAGACCCGGAGAGCCACTGCGGGTTAGCCTCAGGCAGGTGGTGCCTGGGCGAGGCCTGCCGGGCCCTGGGGAACTCGACTGAAGGGGAAGGTGAAAAGAACAGTCCAGGCGAAGCCGCGAGTCCCCTCTAGCCCATCACTGCGAGGAAGAAAAGGTTGAGAGGGGAAATCCAGTCCCCCCATGAAGGGCTTCTCCGGGTGCCTGCGGGAGCCGCCACGCTGTCCCGGGCGGCGCATCTCTGCCTGGGTGGGGCTGGGTGGGCGGGCGCTTCCCGGGAGAATTGCGCGTGCGGGAGGCGGGGTGGCTCGAGGCCTCCGCGGCAGCGGCCTCCGCCTTCGCTTCACGGTTCAGGCCGCCAGAGGGGACTTCCCGGGAGCCTTCTGCCGACTGGAAAGCCCGAGGCGCGGAAGGACTGCGATTGTCCCTGACTGGACAGAGTTCAGTGCTCCGGCGGGGCGGGCGCAGCCTGGCGCCTCCGCCCAGGGGAAGGGTCCTCTGAACCGCCGGGCGCAGCGCAGGTGCGGCGGGGCGGGACGCGCAGGGGCCGAGGGCGGCCTCCCAGGCCCGCCTGGGCGTCGGAGCCCGCTGGGCAGGGAGTGCACTGGAGAGCCCCGAGCCCGGGACAGCCTAGCCAACTCTTGGGCTGAGAGCCCAGACTGGAAGAGCCAGCCATCCTGACCGTCGCACCGGGGCCTGGAGCCAGGTAGGACATCCCGGGTGGGGTTAGGGGAGTCCATAGGCCTCTGTAGGAAGTCCTGGGGGGCGGCAGGGGAAGGGGGTACGGCTCTCAAAACTACATTTGCTTTGTTGAAAGGACGCTGTCTCCCCAGCCTAGACTGTGAGACTGTTGATAGATTAATAACAGCAAAGTTTTCTAAAGGGGAGTTTAGTAAACTTCTTATTGAAGCGTGAGATACAGAAAAGCGTAAGTGCACAGCGCTCAATCTTTATAAACTGGACACACCCATGCTACTAACAGCCAGGTGAAGAAACAGAGCATTGCCAGTCCCCAGAAAGTCCCCTCAAGCCCCCTTCTTGTCACCACCACAGCCAGCTGCCAAGGGCAACAATCACTATCCTGACTTCTAACAGTATAGGTTAGTTTTGTCCGTTTTGGGAACACTGTATAATGGAACCATGTAGCATATACTCTTACGTGCCTGGCTTCTTTCATTTGTGAGATTTCTCCATATTGCTGTGTGTAATTATAGGTCGTTCATTTTAACTAGTGTATTCCATTGTGAGACTATACCACAATTAATTTATCCATTCAGCTCTTCACAGGCACTTGGATAGTTTCTTGTTTTCAGCTATTGTGACTACTGCTACTACGAATATTCTAGAACAGTGGGCAGTAGAATACCTGTGCTGTCCAATATAGTAGCCACTAGTCACATGTGGTTTTTGAGCACTTGAAATGTGACAAGTGTAACTCAGGAACTGAATTTTTAATTTTCTAAAATTATAATTAAATATAAATAACCACATGTGGCTAGAGCTACTGTGTTGGACAGCACAGTTCTAGTTCACCTTTTGGTGACTATAATACACATTTCTATTTGGTATATACCTAGGAGTACAACCCCTATCTCATAGATATGAATATCCACTTTAACAGATCTTACAAAGCAGTTTTCCACAATTGGTTACACCAGTTTACATTCCCACCAGCAGTAGTACCACATGGGCCCCAGTACTTAGTATTTTTATTTCATTTCTCCTTTCATTTTAGCCATTCTGGTAAGCATGTAGTTAAGAGGCTTTTGTTCACTTTTGTGTAAAGTTGTGAAATTGCCATTTAATCATCATAAAGATGATGATGATGATGATGATGATACTTGGGGGTTTTCTCGGAGACCCAGAGATGCTACATGAATGTAAAAAGCCCACCCTTTTCATCAGCCCATCCCTGCAGTCAAACCTCCCACCCAAGCAGCTTCCTCCCTAAGGAGCTGGGCCTAGGGCATCAGCGGGACTGGAGGGAAGAGGCCGTGTGCTTGGAGGTTATCCATCCCCCACCACTCTTGTTACTTTATGCCTTCTTAAAACCAGTGTTGCTTTTCCTTTACTGTTACTTATGGGAATGTCTCACCAGAGGAGATGATGAGCTTGCTTGGCAGGCTGCAACCAGGGCAGAGAAACCAGGTTTTGTTCTGGCTGCAGTTTTAGTTTGTGGCTTGGGCCTGCCGTGTACAAGACAGCATTAACAATCTGTGGGTGTGCTACCTCCCTGGCTTGCTGAGAAGCAGACTCAACCCTGCTGAGGCAGCTGAGGACTTCCTACTGTGTGTCTCAGTGTATGTTGCTTTGTAGACATTCTCTGCACTCCTCAGAATAACCACGTGAGTTAAGTGTTCCTTGTTTACACATGAAGAAACTGAGGCTCAGAGAGGTTAAGTCACACCCCCCAAGGCCCACAGCTAATAAACAGTAGCAATAACCCAGTAGGACTTTTCACCCAATGCCACTGAGAACATTTCTGATGTTTTCTACCTCTCTTCCCTGGGTAAACAGAGCCCTGACTGGTGCAGGGCTCTTGAAATTCTGGATCAAATTGATGCCCTCTGCTTTGTCTCCCTTTGGACAGACCTAGACTGATCACTGACCACTTGTATGTTGTCAGTCAAGCAAAGGAAGTGTTGGTTACATTGTAATACCGGTGGAATTCACTTTGTGTGACACAGAAGTTCTTGAAAAGTTATGTGCAAAGAGCTTTTTGCCTGGGGATAGGGAGAAAAACTGAGCACATTTTAAACTCTTCACTGGAATTTGTTGCTTAAAAGTATCCCAAAGTAAGTTATTTTGTAAAGTGAAGGATCTCTTTGAAATATGAATAATAACCTCCTATTTGTCTTTTAAGTTTATGATTTCAAGTCATAAAAAAGAGTGAGAACAACTCAAAATTATATTTCATACATGTTTCTTGGTTCATTGAGAAGGGTTTCATGAAAGTTTCACCTGGACCACATTGAAAGTGAGGTCTCTGGGAGAGACACAGGTTGTTCTCAATCCAGATGACAAGTAACTAAAAACCCATCACCCCCCCCCCCACCCCTGTGGCTACTGGTGGATTCAGGCTTAGCTTATGTGTGTTTTGCAGTCCTTGATCACATGGTGAGCCTCTCATAAAGGGGCCTCAAGAGTCAAATGGATTATTAGATTAGATGACCTTTTAAGTCCCTTCCAGCCCTGAGATCCTTTAAATTAAATTTGCTACATGCCTATATATTCAGCTATAGATTTCAGAGTGGTATCACCAAAGTGCAACCCTTTCTGATGCTGACTTCTGTCTGCAGTGTCCTAGGCACTGCCGGATACCTCCTGGACACCACCCATGGGAGAACCACTCCCCTCTCCACTCCATCCATAAGTGTTAGAAAGTGTCTCATGTTCATGTGGAGTTCTGCCTTCCTGCAGCTTCCATCAGTGGCTCCCCCTGTTCCCGCGGATGTCTGCTCCTGCATACCAACTTTTCACATATTTAAAGCCAGCCATTGAATTCTGTGTACGCCTTCTCTTCAGGTGAGCTAACCTCAGTTTCTTTGACTGTCCTCAGTCTCTTGGCCATTTTTCAGTAGGCATTCTCCTGCCACCCTGTTTCTTCTGTGCCTGGGCTGTCTACTGCACTCCTCACAGGAGGCCCCTCCTTCCTACGCCTTTGAACACGTCCATCTATCCTCCCCCACTCTTCTGAGAAGACTGAGGCCAATATGGAGGCTCACCCCTGTGCGCCCTGCTCTCCTCAATTTAGGTTTATATTCCTTAATCTTCAGAGGAATAAGTACCATTCTTCTCTCTAAAGGTAAACTTGTCTTTAAAGTCTAGATAAAATTTCTTTCCTACTTCTAGAAATAATGCTTCTAAATTTTAAGTTTTGAGGTCCCCCTACCCTGCAATTTAATATTCTCTACCATTTACTTCTTTTTACCCTCAACCATGGAGTGAGCTCCCCATATTATCTCTTGGCACTTGTGCCCCTTCCTCAAATACCTTTCTCCCTTTTCCAGTCAGATTTCTGGGTATTTCACCAGCTCTTTGCCTTTCCCCAGCTTAAGTGATGCTTATTTCCTAAGTGGTGAATATGGGTGTCCAGATGGAAGTTACCTTTTTTGGCCATCTGGTTCAACTCTGCCCCATGCCAGAGTCCCCTCTCCAGCTCTCCTGAGGGGTCATTGTCCTGCTCCTCCCTCTAGTTATCTAAGGCTCATTCTTTAAGGTCAGCATTGGTCAAATGACTTCTCCTCAGGGTTGTCCTTTTATTAGTTCTCTTCAACGTTTGTCATAAAGACTTTTCTGCAAAGCCTTACTGTGGTTTTGACATCCCATACTTCCCTGGTCATTTCCTTTCACAAAGAGTAGCTGCTCAGTCTTCCTTCTCCATCCCTGCTTTAATGGAACCCTCCAAGTCTCAGTGACTTTTCTACACTCTTGCTGTCCTAAAGCTACTCATTGTACAGTGTCAACTATCACTTTTATACAAAGGGCCGCTGAATCTACAGCTTTAGCCTTGGTTTCCTTCTAATGTCATTCTATCTATATGTCCATTGTCATCTCAAGGTCATCACCATTCCCTGAAACTACTCACATTCAACTTCTGCCTATGGCACTGCCTTGCCTTGCTTTCTTCCCTTTGTTTGGAACTAATCAGTCAAGAAATTATTTCCATGAGTGTCTCTCTTCACTTAGAGCAGAAGAAATGGGAGAACTAACACTGACTGGGCATTGCAGGCTCTGGGCTCTGCATATCCTGACACATGTCATGCTAGAACCATCCCGAAAAGTAAGTGCCATTATCACCATATTACAGATTGAGAAATCAAATTTTGAGAATATAAACACCTTGTTCAATGACACACGGCTCTGGAACCACAAATCAAGGTCTATCTGATTCTAAAGCTTAAGCACTTTATTGCAACAGTCTTCTAACTTGTCCCCTTGGCTCACATGTATCGCTGATAAACACCATCCTTATACAGGCACCAGATTCATTTTCTCCAAATACCTCTTGCTCAAAAGTATGTGCAGTTTTTCAACCATAGTATGGCTCTTCAACTGTGCATGGGATCAAATATACACTCCAGACCACTAGTGAACCCCTGTTACTTTGCCTAGTCAACCAAGTTTCTCGTTATTTTTTTGATGATCTACCTGCTCTCCTTACCATCCCTCTCCCCCCACTCCTTTATCTACCATGGTCATTCCTGGAGAAACCTCTCAGTTCTTCCCAGTCTAACTCCTACCTTCAAGTCCTTCCTAATCATGAAGTCTTTTCCAGCCAGCATAGCCCACAGCAATCACACATTTTCTGAATGCAGATGGAATAGCCTCACCTGCAAAATTTAGACCTTGATCCAAATAGTCTTGTTTATTGACTCATTATTTCCAGTCACAATTAGAAAGTAGGCTTCTTGAGGGTAAGAATCTCTCCCCTCCCCTTTTTTTTAAGAAACAGGGTCTTCCTTCATCACGCAGGCTGGGATGCAGTGATATGATCATAGCTCATTGTAATCTCCAACTCCTGGGCCCAAGTGATTCTCCTGCCTCAGCCTCATCCTCCTGCCTCAACCTCCTGAGTAGCTGGGACTATAGGAGGGTGTCACCATGCTTCGTTAATTTTTTAATTTTTTTGGTAGAGACAGGATCTTGCTATATTGTCCAGGCTGGTCTGGAACGCCTGACCTCAAGCAATGCCCGCACCTTGCC